GTCGGATGCTTAACCGACTGCGCCACCCAGGCGCCCCTATAGTTGTCTCCTAAAGAACTTGTAGGTGTCTTTTTGTTTTTGTTTTAGGTGTATCTTGGCTATTATTGTTGTTTTCAGTGATATACTTTCCATTACATATTGTAATTTGTCAGTGATTTTGTTGGCCAGATTCCATAATTGACTATATTGATCTTTTATATATCATCTTTCTGAAGTTGCTTATGTATCTTAATAATTTCTGTACCGGGGCGCCTGGGTGGTTCAGTTGATTGAGTGTCCCACCCTTAATTTCAGCTCAGGTCATGATCCCAGGATCCTGGGATCAGGCTCCATGCTGAGCCTGGACTTGGCTTGGAATTCTTTTGGTCTCTCCTCTCCCCCACTTGCATACTCTCTCTTTCTCTTAAGAACAAAAAAAAAATTAATTAATTTTTTAAAAATAAAAAAAAAATAATTTCTGTACCAATTATTTGGAACTTTTTAATTAAGAGATCATATTGTTACCACAATGTCTTTTCATTATTCTTTTGTCTTATTTACTTTGGTATTCTTATTCTTGTGTGATGGTTGTGTACTGGGTATTTTTTTTCATTCACTCATAGACAGTGGATTTAATACCACTTATCTTTATCTTCTCAACCCTATTGCAGTGGTTCACATTTATTATATTCACGGTAGATTTTAGAAAATGAAAATTCTTACATATTTTTAAAAAATATGGAACACTTTGCAAATTTGCCTGTCATCCTTGCATAGGGGCCATGCTAATCTCTGCATCATTCCAATTTTAGTATATGTGCTGCTGAGGGGAGCACAGAAATTCTTGTCTAATGCAAGTTTGCCAAAACTTATTATCATCAACAAGTGTTATTTACTTATATATTTTGGGGGACAAAAGGCTTTTTCTTTATCCTCGTACATAGTCCTGTCCCTTTCCCCCCCTTTTTGTCAACATAGTGATTTCCATTTGGCAGTGTTTTCTAATGTTGATTCTCTGCTATACTGGAAACACTATGAATTGATTTAGGGTGTTCGTGCAAGCGAGCTTGGTTTTGGTGTTGTTTTATTGAGGGATTCTCATCTGGTCTTTGTATCAACAAGAGGTAGCCTATTAAAATGGTTGAATAACTGCAAATCTTTTTGTATAGTTTAAAAGAATTTTCATGAGATAATTACCTTTTCCTTTACCATTTTGTGCAGTAAGCCCCAAAGCCTGGATGGCCCTGAAATATTTTGATGTTGCCTTGGGTTGGACTGCTGTTTCAGTTTCTTATTTTGTTGATTGAATATTTCTGTTTTTCTGTGGACCTATTTAATCATATATGTTAGTAACCTTCAAAATAAAGCATGTAGTTATTTCACCAGGAAAATGGGTTTATTTGGAAATAGAAAAGAATTTCAGTTTGGGACTTGCAAGCTATGGCACAACTCCAGGCAAGTCCAAGAACAAAGTCGAGGAATACTCTGGTAGATGGAAAGAGGAGTTGGACGGAGCTCTTAGAAAGTCCATTGGAATAAACTGGGAGTTTAAAGTGGCTTTTCATTGGCAGAGTTGTGACCGTCTCTCATTGGCTGGGATGTTACTGGGCAATGAGATAGTCTTTTTTCCTCCTGCTCTTGTGGTGAAGTCTGAGCTCTTCCTGTTGGGAATGCATGTCTACCTGTCTGCAGTTGAAGACAAGTGGTAGGACATGAGAGCTCCCCGTTCTAGCCTCCCGACCCCATTTGAAATGAGTTTTCTTTTATTTAATTTCACAATATCTTGATTAAAATGCTGTGTTTTGTAGGCATATCTCAAAGACATTGCAGGTTTAATTCCACACTACCATAATATGTACTGCAATAGAACAAGTCACATGAATTTTTCGGTTCCCTGTGCATTCACACTATACTGTAGTCTATTGTGCAAATGCATTATGTCTAAAAAAAAAAAAAAAGAAAAGAAAAAGAAAACAGTGTGCACACCTTAATTTAAAAATAGCTCAAAAAAATAGCTTAACAAAAACTCCAAACTCATGTGGTTCTGCTTATGTGAGATAGATTAACTAAGTAAAATTTCTAAATGCCGTTTCAGGTGTATATGCATTAAACTGGTTTTTATTCATGATGCATGAGTATAAAATATGTGTTACTTTTATGTAATTTGAATGAAGGATACTTTAAGTACATTTGAAAATATGTAAAGTAAGAAGGTGGTAATCGCCATATTGAAATTATACTGCAAGTAGCT